TTCTGATCATAGCAACCCCAGCATTTCGTAAAACTACTGGGAAATTTATACATAAATGACTTGAGTCCTTGTTCTAAAACTACAAAAATTAGTTGAATTGTCTTGGGCAAATCACAAAGCTTCTCAATTTGACCTTCTCAACAGCAAACCCAGTAAAGATGTGTTTCTTTATGGAAGCCCGAGGGGCCACACAAATGACATCATGAGTGTTTTATTTGATGATGAAATATATGAACAGATAAAGACAATTGAAGGCAGTCAAATCTTTTGAGTGTGTGTCCTAGGTAGAGGAACATGAAATAGGAAGTCAAGACGTTAAATGCCTATTTCACTAAGAAGCCCCAACACCCTGGATCTTGGCCTTGAACAGACTGGGGGGCTTTTCTTTTCACAGAATCATCTTTGAACTTATAATGAAGGGCATGGAAGCTTGCGTATGCCTCTGGATTTGAAACATTTCTCAACCGATTCAGATCATCAGGTATTTTTAAAAACATGATAAATGATTTGTCTTGACTAGCTTAACTCCCCCAAAGTACCTTATAATTTTTACTCAAGTTGACTTCTCAGCATTCCAGCCATGTTTCCTCTTAGATTGACTTATTGGGGAGGCAGTCGTTTGTCTCCAGTGAGCAAAACAATTTTACTTTGTTGTTCCATATTTTCTAGAAGAACCAAGCTCAGGAACTACTGTGAGATAAAATCATAGATGTACTATTTCATATAGAGTGAGCCCAGATTTGTTCCCCCCCCCCCAATGGGAATTTAAGTAATGCCTCCAAAATTTATAGCTTTCTTAAATCAGCCCATTACAAAAGGGAAATATGTATGTATTTAGCAAGCAGATTTTAAAACTGAATTCTCAGAATGTAATAAACCTTTTATAAGTGGAGTTACTTATTAAAATAATTTTACCATTTTAATGCTACTTTATATCAATTAGTAGTATATTCAGCCAAGCTGAATCCCCTCACTTTAAAAATGTTCTTTAAAATCAAATTCCACTATAACAAAAATTATGGACAGGTATTTTACTAAATATAAAAATAGTTTTATGAGCATAGCAAAACTCAAACCCACTATCATCAAATCAACTCTGATTCATGGTGGCTCTATACAATTCCAACTCAGAGTGGCCTTATACAAACCCTAGCACAAGGTGCATATCTTTACCTAAGCAGAAAGCCTCATCTTTCTCCCTCGGGGTGGCTAGAGGATTTGAACCACTGATCTTGCACTTAACCAATGCTGACCTGTTAGCACCACCAGATTCCTTATTTTTTTTAAATTTATAATTGCAGAAACACCTTTAATAGTGAGACAACCAAGGTTTCATAACTTTGGATATGTAAATAGAATTTTTAAAGTCTTTGATGTTGGAAGAAAAGAAAAACTTCACTTTGATTTTTAAAACTTACAATTTTGCATCTTCCTCCATTATTAAATACAAGGTAGCAAACACAACAGTATTAGCCGTCCTTGTGGTTTTGTTACCAATAAAAATCACAGAAATTTTCAAATTGCATTACACATTGCAAATATTTCAAAACATCATTTTTACCTATAACTACATCAAAATTATGGTACGTATTTAATAAACCACTGCAAAAAAACAACAGACTACTGCCATCAAGTTGATTCTGACTCATAGATTGTAGATCCTGTAGATCTAAAGCAGCAATTCTGAATCTGTGGATCGCGACCCCTTTGGGGGGTCAAACGACCCTTTCACAGGAGTCATCTGATTCATAACAGTAGAAAAATTACAGCTATAACATAGCAACAAAAATGATTTTATGGTTGGAGGGTGGGGGGGTTTCACCACAACATGAGGAGCTGTATTAAAGGGTCACAGCATTAGGAAGGTTGAGAACCACTGATCTAAAGGGTGCTGTAAAACAAGGAGGTTACTTTGTGGACTATGGTGCCCCTGACCCAAGCCATGGTATTTTCAATGGCCTCATATGCTTGTGAAAATTGGACATTGAATACGAAGACCAAAGAAGAATTGATGCATTTGAATTGTGGCGCTGGCAAAGAATATTGAAACACCATGCACTGCCGAAAGGACCAACAAATCTGTTTTAAAAAGTACTGCCAGAGTGCTCTTTCAGGCAAGGATGGCATGACCGCCTCAAGTACTTTGGACAGGTTGCCAGAAGAGACGGGTCCCTGGAGAAAGACATCATGCTTGGTAGAATAGAGAGACAGCAAAAAAAAAAAAGGAAAGCCTTCAATGAGACGGACTGACAGTGGCTGCAACAATGACCTCTAACAGGAGGACTCAGGACCAGGCCGTGTTTCGTTCTGATGTGCATGGGATTGCTATGGGGCAGAACTAACACCATATCCCCTAACAAATCTTTATGGGAACAGATGGCGTCCTCTCTCCTGCAGAGCAATGATAGATCTCACCTGACACCACTAATCACTCCAACACTCAAACAAAAGGCACTGCGGTCAAGTCAAGTTTGACTCCTAACAGCCCAATCAGACAGGGTAGAACTGCCCCCTGGGTTTCTGAGAATGTAACTCTTTGCAGGCGAAGAAAGCCTGGTCTTTCCCTGGGAGTGGCTGGTGAATCCAAAGTCCTGACCCTGTGGCTCACAGCCGAGCTGTAAGCACTGCACCACCAGGGTTCCTCTCACCAACTGTGACCAGAGCGTATTGTTGAAGTGTTAATGACAAAGGAGCTCCTATACTTCTGTACAGTGATATGTTCATATTCTGCTACATGCTTTTCCATGTCATTTGCTTTCTTGTAATTTTATGTATTTTCCTTTATACTTTTAAAAAGTTTATTCTGATAAGTCCATAGACTTTCCCACACTGCCAAAGGTATCTTTGGCACCAAAACAAACAAGCAAACAAACATTATGAATCTCTATTTAAAAGTCATGTTAAATAGCGTAGGGTGGCTGTTGTTATTGGGTGCCATGGCTCATGGTGACACTATTGCTTACTAATTATACTGCCTTTTTTTTTTTTTGTAAGATGCTCTCACTAGTCTTCTCCGCAGTTACAAACCCGATGCTCGGGGAGAATTTCTTCCATTCCTTCCTCCGTTCTCAAGACCCAGTTCATGTCCAAGCTAAAAGTTCGGTGGGCTGAAATTTAAATTTATTTTTTTTAACATAATGGCTTAGAGGATAATAATAAATGTCGTCAAATATTGCTGTTACGTGTCTCTTACATAGATGGCGATTGCTGCTACTGAGACCAGATTCTACTTCCATCAGCAGCATTGTTTGCTTCTACAAGAACTCGATGAGACGACACTCAGAGTGAGTGAGACACTCCACAGTTGCTGGTTCACACAATGACTTTGCAGACCCCTGCCCACAGGGGACACCACAATTTACCCAATTAGGCAGCTGGGTGTTCGGATTGCAGGTGGCTAATGGCGAAAGGGATTTTTGTGAGGGCCTCGTGTTCCTACGTCAGCACTTATCCCCTGCTTCAGGAAACACACCGTCCCATTTCTGGTTCACCTTAAAACAATCACATGAAAATAAAGAGGACTGTCAGTAGAGCAATTTTATAAATAGCTAAAATTAAACAGAGCAAGACTGGCAGTGGTAATGCATAAGCAAAGAACTGACTTCCTGCATTTCATCTAGAATTCCTGATAGCAAACTGCAGTATGTTTATTATACATTAATTCAGCACAGCATTCAAAATGAATTTATGCCCTGACGGAAGGGTGCGATACTGAAACTAAATATTATTTATTATCTTAATATTAGTAACCATATTAAAAAATTGTGTTAACAATTCAGAGTGTTTATAAAGCTAAAGAGACCATAGCTCTACTTACCAACCAACCACTCTTGCCTTAATTTATGCAACTATAGCCTATAGCTAAAAGCTTTGTGTATTTGTTTCCCCCATGGTATTAGTGCTCAAAAATAGGACACTCTTTCAAGGGCACCTTATAAACACATAACTATAATTTATTTGGCAAATTAGAGCTCATATAAAATGTGCACACTGAGGTACAGATTAACATATTTAATTTCAATATTACCTGCAAACCTATTTTTTCCTATACACTGCTCTAATTAGTCATATAAAATCAAGTCTGTGTATTATAAGCAATTATTTTAGTGGAAATAGAAACTGAATCTGAATTAAATATACTGTAAAAAGATAACACTTTTATGGAAATTAATATATCCATTTGTATCTAGAAAAATGTGGTCTAGCTAAATGGTATGAGAATGTGAACATTCAAAAACTTGATTGCGGTAAAAGTTGAGAGGTTTTACGATTTAATAACAGAATAATGTGCAGTCTTGGCAACATACCAATACTTATATTTTGATGATATTTCCAAGTTTCTAAATCCCTATTAAGCATTAGATTAACTTTATGTAGTAAATGTTTTTCCTGTTATGAATATTCACTACCCCCGCAGTTGAACATGCAAACAGTTTGTGAACATTTTACCTAGCAAATGGTGCTTTTCCTATTAAGCCTGTACTAGGAATTAGAATGGAGGACCACAAAGCTTATGTTACATTAAAATAATTTCTTTCAAATAGGTGTTGATGAAAGACTACACCTGTAAGCAACTTGAAGCTATAGCTTTATTGGCAGTGTTTTCTAAAACGTTGTCATAAACTTATGTATAAATGTCTTGAAGTCAAAGTTAACTGAAGGCCATTAGAGGGAATGCCAGGACATGTAACTGGGGCGGACCGATCACCTTCTTCTCAGCACTCTACCAAAACATAACCTTGCGAGAAACCTTCCCTGCTCTGATCTCAGTGGGTGTCCCAGCCCCAGCCCAACACATTACTTCTATTTCTTCGACTTGTGTGTTAACCTTCAGAGCACAAATAAGATATGTTCATTTCCTTGTTCCTTATTTGTTTTCAACACTGGAGTAGCATCCCTAAGGGCAGGAACTTGTCAAGCATTTAATATTGCTACTGGCACAAATGAACCAAAAGTCAAACCCTCTGCCATTGAGTGGATGTCAACTCGTAGCAACCCTGTAGGTCAGGGTGGAACTCGCCCTTTCAGTTTCTGAGACTGTGAATCTTTAAGAGACTAGAAAGCCCTGTCTTTCTCCCAAGGAGTGGTTTGTGGTTTCTGAACTCCTGACCTTGCAGCTCCACTACTTATGGGTAAGCACTGTGCCACCAGAGCTCCTGTTGGCACAAAGGAAGAGCTCAGTCACTATGTGTTTAATTGAAGGAATAAATGAATGAATAAGCTAATGTGATTTGTCTTTGAGACATTTCTAAGTTTTTATTGGATATTTGGCTGTCAAAAGACCTCAGGTTTCTTAAAAGGGTTTTTTTTTAATTTTTTAGTATTTGTGTTAATCTGGTTTGACTAGAGAAACAAATTCATAGATACTCATACATGTATAAGAAAGAGCTTTATATAAAAGAGTAGTTATATATTGAGAAAACACCCCAGCCCAGTCCAGATCATGTCCATAAGTCCAATATTAGCACTTATGTCCAATACTAGTCCATAAATTCCTTTAGACTCACGCAGCACGTGCAATGATGCTGAATGCAGGAAGGCCACAGGCCAATGGGTAGAAAGTCTTGTAGATCCAGTGGCAGTAGAAGCATCACAGCACTGGCATAGGTCTCCATGTGGCTCCTCTTGCTCCAGGGCTCTGGCTCCATCAGTGTGTCCCCATGTGGCTTGTCAACAGGAATATGTATGTGTTCTACCTCCAGGCAGGAAGAACCCCAGAATCCTCAGGAGAAGGCCATGCCCACACAGAGGCATCATTGGCTAAGGCCTGATTGACAGGTTAGACTCCATCCTTTCACTCTTAATATCCTCAAGTTGACACCAGATTGTGTAACAACTACAGTATTTCCTTTGATTCTGGATTAGCTGTTCATTACAATGGAACACCACATTTCTGTCAGTTTGTCACACTATGGTAGCTTGTGTGTTGCTATGATGCTGAAAGCTCTGTCACTGGAATTTCAAATAGCAGCAAAATCATTCAAGATAGAGAGGCTTCAGAAGAGCTTACAGAGTAAGATAGACTGGGAAGAACGTTCTAGTGCTCTACTTGTGATAATTAGCCAACAAAAATCCTATGAATCACAACAGAATAATGTCTTAGATTGGACGGGAAGATGAGTCCCATGGGGCAGAAGGCATCCAAACTTCACAGTGGACTTCAGTGTATCACCAGCTGTGAAGATGGTGTAGGACTGAGCAATGAGAGTTGGAATTCACTTGATGTCAACTAACAACAGCAGCAACAATTACAGAGGGGTGAGGTATCTGAAACCTCTCCTTCCCCTTTGGGGAGGAAGTGCATATTGTGTGAGGAATGCCCACAGACCTTCTTGAGTGAGGCATTGTTGGTTTGGTGTGATAGCCACCCCTCATGGCTCTAGGTCACCTTTCCTGCAAAATTCTGCAACTCTCAACATAGATCCACGGGCTGCCAATGTCAATTCTCCTATCTCTCCATTATGCTCCTTGCTTTCCTCATTTGAGGCCATTGCAACCAGCAACTCCATCCCAAAGAACACCCAGTGACTCCTCGTTGTTACTGTTTCTGACACTGTTTCTAGACATTGTCTACCTTTGGTCTGTCCAGTTTCTAACAGTTTCCAGAAAGACAAACCCACAGAATCCATAGTACCACGTTATAATGTCAAAACAGTCTGCCTCCTACCTCTCCTAACACCTTAGCTGTTCCTCTTAGGGGGTTCTCAGAGTAGATAGAAAACAGCTTGTCACCACTCATTAAACATGACTTGTTCTAACATTACAATACAGGATACACAGGACCAGCCACCTGGCCTGCTTTGTATCACTTATTATTTTACCTGCCTGGTTCTATTCTTTCCAATTTAAAGAAGTCTTTCGCAACTCTCCATCTGAAAGTTCCACCATCCAGACATACCATATCTGGTTTCCTTTATTACTCTACAGCACTCTGTGTTTCAAGTTCTTTCTTTTTTAATAAATGACTGTAATATTAAATGTGATCCACACCCCGTGTCTTTAGTTAAGTCATTGTACCTCAAAGCCTGTTTTGCAACTTTGTCATTCCTCCTTCTCTCTCCCGTGACTTTAATATATATTTCAGCAAAAATTTCCATTACACAATTTGAAACACTTCATTATTAACTTCTTTCCAACTAAAGGATTTCAACTCACTGGTTTAGAGTCTATCTACTTAGCATTTTGAATGGGTTCCCATTGTTCATTAAAAATGGAACATGATCTATTGCACCTTGCTGAGTCTGAGCCCGCCTCCTCTTCAACCTCGGTCCATGTCACTCTTCCTGGTTCACAAAGCCTTCCGTACTGTCTGCACATTGTTCATCAAAGACACCACGTCTATCCTGCTTCAAGACACTTACTCAGACTCTATCTCTGCCCTGGCTCTTTCCACCCCAGTTCTCCTCCCATGTAAGGGCTAATTTCTTCCTCTCTAGCACTCCAGTGTCCTTGAAAATGCCACTTCCTGCAGACTCACCCCTGTCCAGGTCAAATTCAGAGACCCATGAGAGTTTCTTCCATAAAACGGCCTCTCAGCTAGTTGACTAACAAATTGTGGTGGTTAGATTTTATGCCACCTGGAAGAAAGTTGAAAAGTGGAGACCAGTTTATGAGGCTGGTCACAGCCTGGTGACCCCTCCTTGGAGGTGTGGCCTTTTCGTAAGACAGACACTGCAAACATTTCTCTCTCTGGCCCTTCACCTTTCTCCTTGCTTGGGTTCTGTGTCTGCCTCCTGAGACCTGTCGCCATTCTGCCTTGCCTCCCCTGATCTTGTAACCGTGAGATTCTGCACTCATGAACCTGCGATCTCTCTGCTTCTCAGGTGACATACCTGCATCATTGGTCTGCAGCTTCATAAATCTGAAGAGGGCTCCGGCTCACAGTGGACCCATGCTCTTGAGTTGGGCAGGGCTGCGACACCTTCTTGATATATCCTTACTTCTTGATATAAAGTTCTTTACATATATGGGTGTCACTGGTTTTGTTTCTCTCGACAACCCAGCCTAACACAAAGGTAGAGGAATTTCATATATAAATTGCCATTCGACATGCTTTCAGAGTCAGTGAAATGAGTGTTTGTGAGAGAGCGGTGTAAGCTAATGTCTTCTGTGAGGAAAACCCCCAAACCTTCTGTTCTGTCCACAGAAACCACCATTGTTATCCATCGGTGTGCATGACCCTTGAGTATCAAACCTAGACAGACTTATGCTGCCCTATTCTGAGAATGGAGTGTCCTATGAAAAGAAAAGGAAATATCATTTCCTTAAAATTTAGGTTAATACGGGACAGATGAGATTTGGTTTTTTAAGAGGTAATCTATTTGCTTTGTCAATGGTTCTGGAGGATTCTGGTAGTATACTAGATGACGTTTTAATTCAAAGATCTTCTCTTGTTATTTATTTTTGTAGCTTTGCCTATTTTTATATAATTTGCAGTCACCATCAATATTTTGAAATTAATTATGATTTCTAAACAAGCTAAAGTAGGCCT